AATTAAACTGTAAAACGTAGATTGTAAATAGAGATTCAAATTATTACAACGCCATCTGGACGCACACATTACTGTAAACATTAATGATTCTAAAATACAGACATCAGTCTAATGTAATTGTTAGATATGGAAAATTAAAAAAAAGCACATTAAAAAAAATTATATTGATGTCAAATAAATTAGATTTTTGAGTTGCCTGACTCTTACTGTTCTGTCTCAAACATATAGGGCCAGAGAAGGTTTTAAAGAAAAGGAAAACTATCAGAGATTAAAGTGAAGCGATATGTATCAGGTAGAGAAGCAACTGAACTCTCACTATCTGCTGCATCTTCAATCAACTGTGTTTATTTGCCTTTATCAGTGGGACCTATTACCTGATATGCTGACCTTTCAACACAGCTACGTTGTTTTATATGATGAGTGATATGCTAATGTGGCTAAGAAAGTAAGAGGAATATTCAAGTGGATTGGGGGATGAAACAAATACTTAAAAGTTTTATCAAGAGCTCTTTGAATCTAGTGTTTAGGTATTGCAAAACACCGATAACCTCCTGTTGGAATTATCCATCACAAACACCACATGTTGCTGTTTTCATTCGCTATGACTGGATGATTTTCCCCATTTACTTGTATGAACAATCACATTTCAGTGGTGGTGGTGGTAGTTTTCCGTCATGCTGGTTAAAACATAATTATTAAGTCATCTAAGGTATGTTAAATGGCAGTGGCTGCCTGTTACAACACCAGCCCCTCCACACCAAAAATGGTGAAGGAGAACATATGTACAGTCCCTGTGGTAAACAGAAAATCCAAATTTCTAATTTGCATAAAGCTGAAGATATTTATGTTTAAACATTTTAATGGCTGGGATGCTTTGATGAGACACTGACCACCTACTGAAGGTATTTTAAAAAGGAACATGTTTCAAAATCACTAAAACTTCTCATCACACTTAGTTTGAAACTTGTTTATTTTGATATCAGAGAGAGCGACAGAGTTTAGCTGATACATATCACAGACTAAGTTTTCCATTATGGGTTCTTCGTTATTAGCTCTCTGAGATTTAACATTATTGTTCTTCTGAACATCAGCAACCCAACAATGAATATAAGTTTAAATTATAGGCAGGTTAGTTTTTCTATGTGTTATTTTTTTATTTTCTTGTTTTACCAATTAGTACAACTGCAGTTTCTGCATTGAGGGGGAGGAGAAATAATTGGATTTGAGGCAAACATGCTGAGTTGTGTTGCTCTTCCTGTCTGGTTTTCATACTACAGTACTTTTGGTGACTATGCACTACATTTTGTTATGTCTGTTTGTGAATTGAATGAAAACTCACCTCCATAAATCCTATGTAGTCAACATTTGATATTTACTATTGTGATGTTTTTAACAGCCCCTGAAAACGCTCCTCGCCTAATTCACTGATGTCTACCTTCAAATTTAAAGCAATAACAGAGTCATGTCTTAGGTTATTTTGTCATAACTCTTTTTTTAAAATGTTTTTTTTTTTTTTTCATCAGACAGCTGTATAACCCATATAGTATGTTGTCACAGAACAGAGAGTATGAACAATTAAGACAAACATAATAACTGTGTTTGTTTCCTGTAGTTTATTTTGAAAATGCAATTTAGAGCAAGATAACACCATGTTCTATGCAGGTGCACATACTTTTTTTTTTTTGGGACATGACAAGATGCTTGTAGCTGCAGGTGAAGAGTCTTGGCAAAGACTTAGAAGCAGACTCCTTGGCAAGCTTCAGACTCATCACACATCAAAGCCCGAGCCTTGAAGAAATGGGGAACAGGCTTTGTCGTGTATCTGAAACTGTGACTGTGCTTCTGTGAGCTTGAAACTGTGTTGCAGAACAGTTGTCAGCAGGATACTGTCATGTTGTGTTTGCTATATATATTTTTTCCCCACAATCATCCTCTAAAGGCATTTACAATAACTTATTCAAAACACAATTGCATGAAAACATTTCAGTCAAAGCATTTATGTTTAAAGGCAAGCATGTTTTGATAAAAAAAAAAAAATAAAAAAAAAAAAATAAAAATCCTATTTTATGCAGCTGTGGGGGGGAATATATTTTGGTAAATGAAAAATCATCTAAAAAAATCCAGAAAAACGACCATGGAATGAAAGGAAACTATACACTGTTTAGATCTGAGTCTCTCCTGTATATCTGCTTAACGTTTATTCCATATTATACTGTATTCACTATAGCTTGGAAGTGAGAAGTCGTATTTTATTATTTTCTTATGCTTTATCTTTAATTTATTTTTAGCCGCAAAAGCAATTGGTTTCTTGAGTTCAGTTAGAAATAAGTTAATGATGCTTTGTGATACCTTCTAAAAGATTACATTTTACATGTTACTTCAGTTTTGATGTGGGATTTTGGCAACAACATATTACATTATTCCCGCTTAAGAAAAGTGGCAAGAGCTGGCCGGTTTAATATATATATATATATATATATATATATATATATATATGACTCATGTAGAGATGTTGCGATGACTCAAGAGAATATATATATATATATATAACATCTCTACATGAGTCAGGGCCTTCGGTGTGACCGCTGGTACATGGTCTGTAATTGGAAATGACAAATGGTCTTTCATGTCTTCTTAACGTCCTCAGATGTTTGGTCACATTCTTTCTTTTGTCTTTCAGGTGTGAGTCCTTTCCATTACAGGGCATTCTTTTGGGGCTGACAAACAAGGAAAAAGCATTGTTAAACAGCCGTGGCCACCAAGAGTAAGAGAGTGTTTAGCTTGAGGCAATGTCCTCAGGACACAGTGCAGCAAACCTCCATGGACGCCCATCTATAAAAGATTTACAGAGCGTATTGGTGCATCGGAAAGTCCCCTCAAGTAGTTCTGTTTTGGAAGACATCGGAACGAGGGTGCCTATGTTCTCCTGACCCTCTGCTGTGTCAGAAATGTTTCACCTTGCTCTTGGACCACGCAAACACACACACCACAAATCCCCACATGACTGGACAGTTGACTGAGGAGACTTCGCCGTGGCCCCCTGTCAGTTTGGTTTAAATTATATCTGACAGTGAGACACATGCAGCCCTGTGTCCAGAGACAACCCTTTGCTCTGTAACAGTAGAAGTCCAAAAGACATGGCTTTATTTCTCACAGAGTGTTTTCTGACGTGGGCAGATGCCGTCCTTCACAGATAATGGTCAAGACATGTAGAGACAGAATATGGCTTCAAATAAAGGATTTACAGGCAACCTCAATCAACAATGAAATTCTTAGGAAAAGGGAAACTGGGAAAAAAAAAAAAGGTAATTTAAAGGAATGATGGAACTAAATACAGGGAAACAATTGAAGAAAACCTGAGAATTTGAGAAATGTGGAGGGGAAAATGTATTATTTCAGTCTCTCTCTCTCTCTCTATTCAGTGTGACTGAGGTTGAGCTATTTCGCAGAGATAAAAGGGAAAGCATTACACAGGTGTGTACCCCTTCAGAGACATATAATACTAGCCCATTCAAAACTGCCTCTTTAATCTGAGAGGTTCATCAGCATGTCAAACTTTCCAGATATTAGTCAAACACACTGAAGATTGTAGTTGCAAGGTGACAAAATGTGAAACAAAAGGAACGAGATATACATACTTTTGCACAACAATATACATATTAAATAATTTACTTATTTGTTGTGGTACATCATTTGCGGGCCTAATAAGATGTTGGGCCGGTACGTCTTGGTTTCAGGTTTATGTTGACTGACGGCGAGCCGCTCTCATGCTAGTTGCCCACATGACCCTTTGGTTGCTGACAGACGGGTGTAAGCAGAGTCTCTTGAACAACAAATTATTTATAAGCTGCACACAAGCCAACCACCCCCACACTTGTATTCCAATTTGGCTTCATCAAAGTCTGCGTGTCTCTCTTTGTCAGAGTATTCACACTGTGTACACATCCATGGCTCCAGACTTCATGTGTTCGCCTGCCCAGGTTGGTATTTGCATGCATATGTGCGCGTTTAATTCAAGTGGATTAGCCGCCATAGATGCTTGACTCGGAGACAATGGACCACTGAACTTTTGATCCACTAAATAGTTAATGAGTGATTTGATTAGGACGTAGAGGCCCCTTTTTACTGGAGATGAGATCAGTGTCTGGGTCAAACGAGGAAGAGGATACCACTGTGTCTATCAGAGACTCCCACTTTAACAACCACTTGAAGTTGAGTTTTTTTAGGCATGTGTAACCCGGAAACGTTTTTTTTTTTTTTAACGTGATGCGAGGAGCATAGAGAGATGATGCTCAGTTTTTTTTTTTAAGTTTGCAACCAGTTGCTTGCAGTATCATATATACTTTTTTCCCCCCTATAAAAACAAAATAAAGTAATACATGGTATTTTTTTTTAAATAAAATCTTCCAATCTACAGTCCTGTCCTGTTTTACTTGTAATCAAAAATTTCCTATCTGCTCAAATAACTTTAACTATGCAACCTTGCTCTGACACATGCAGGCGCGCAGACAAAGACACACGAAAGCCTGTGCCAATACACAGATATGGACTAGTGTGAGCAGCACCCACAACAACAAGTACTAATGTCAGAGTGTCCTCCTCTTAGCGTCTTTATCCCCCCCAAACCCTCTTTCAATAATTTAGTTCAAGGTGTCAGACAAAGCTGCCCTGGCTCATGCAACCCCTGTAAAAGACACTGCTGCCCGCTTCACTGGTTTACCCCCACCACCTCCATGTCTCAATTAAACATTCGTCTAAGTGTTTGGAGGTAAACACATGCAAACAAAACAGTAGCAGACATGAATAAGGGCTACTTGCTAGACATTTACCCAATTAATGAGGGGAAAAGCCGCCCTAGGTAAAAGTATTTGGACAGAGTATATGATTACCGCTGCACTACTTCACCATTCGATAACATCATTTCTGTATTTTTTATTTTTTTTGTTGTTGTTGTTTTGCTTTCTGTTGATGGTGTGAGTTTTTCCTGCTGTGTAACTTACGTGCTTGTCCTTGAGCAGGTAATTGGATCGTGACTGCGACTCAGAGGTCAATCTTGTTGTTGCCTTGAGGCTGGAGAGGAAACGGGGGGAGGAAAAAAAAAAAAAAAAAAAAAAAGCAGATGTCTGTTGAAGCACTTCTTTTCTGAGTGAGGCACATGTACAGACAGGAAAAATATTAAAAGAGCGAAGCGGGAGGTCAGCTGATAAGATACTTCCAGAGCAAACATCTGGTCACCAAAACGTGACAGAAGCACATTTTGCATCGGCTCGTATGTGGACGGACAAGTTGAGTTCAAATCTTCAAAGAAATTACGATAAAGTCAGAAAAACAAACACAGAAGGTGAATAGAAAAATGAAAATGGCAACATGTGGTTTTGGGTGTAAAATTCTGAACTAGTTTGTCAACAGCCACTCCACTCAACATGATATTTAAGTTGCTGTCATTACATGAATCATCTTTTATCTGTAACATATTCACAGTTTTTTTTTTTAGTTTTTTTTTTTTTTTAGTTTTTTTTATTTATTTCTGGGTAAATAATTATTGATTTATTGTTTGGAAAGTATAATACATTTATAAAAGCTCTCATCCACATCTAAAAGTTGTAAAACTAACAGATTTTATCCCTCCGTCCATCCATGTCCGTCTGTAGCAGCCATTAGTGGTGAAAGATGTAAATGTTACCAGAATATCACAGTGCTATATTTTTCTTAACATGCCAAAATTTCATATATTATATTGTTACTGATTTCCTTGTCAAACCAAGTGAAACCCCATCCAAAATTGATGGAATGTTGTGGAATGACTTCATTTTGCTGTAAGACATTGTCTTTCTACAATTAGACATAATGTATATTGTTCACAGAAAAAAAAAATATGCCAACACAAAGATGGAGTACTGATCATCTATCCATCCATCCATCCATCCATCCATCCATCCATCCATCCATCCATCCATCCATCCATCCATCCATCCATCCATCCATCCATTCATTCATTCATTCATTTTCTGTACACCCTTGTCCCTAGTGGGGTTGGGAGGGTTGCTGGTGCCCATCTCCAGCGAATGTTTCGGACGAGAGGCGGGGTATGCCCTGGACAGGTCGCCAGTCTGTCGCAGACTGATAATTTATGCTCCACGTATAAAAATATATGTTGAACTCTCATCAATGAGTTCCACAAGAAATATCCAGCTCAGCATCGTTACACAGCTCACTAAAACATTTCATATTTAGGGCCCAAAAACATTTTGAGGCTTAATAAAATTGTTGCTTTTCGCACTGGGTTCAAATTTCACGTTAGTAATTTATACTGGTGTAAATTGCAGTAAGGTAATACAATTAGTGTCATTAGTCAGCGAGGTGACAAAATACTCACAACCTTCCACAGATTACAGGAAATCAGTCAGCATATATCCGGCCATCTTGGGCAAATTAGAAGGACTGAGGGCATCGTGAGCATTGTGTCCTTGTGACCATAGTAAGTAGGTAAAAATTTATGACATGGCCAAATAGATTGAACTCTTCACTAACTAACTACAAACTAGGAAGGCAATTATGTCTACACAGTACCAGTATAAGCTATATTGCATTTAGAATAATTACCCTAGTATTTCGTTTTAGCTTTTTATGGCATGTATGGTCCAATAAAAATCAAACATGCAAAGCAGTTTAACAGGGATAATTCTTGGCCTTTAATTATCTTTTTGCTTCAATTTCCTCTTCATCACTCTCAGCAGAGCCTCCTCCTTAACTCCTGAACTACCCCTCTGTAGCTGGTGGGACGCGGCGGATGCATGGAGGCACTACTGACAATGATAGATTTGACAAGAGGACAGTGTTAATGATATTCCCCCCTTTGATGGCTGGGGCTACTTCACACACATTTGCATTTCCATTCATCATCGGCATTTATCATTATGGGGTTGCTGCCAAATCTAATTACAGTCCTGAGCCAACGGGGATGACGGGCCTGATATGAGGGCCCCCAGCCCCTTACACATGTCTATTTCTCAATGTTTGTCACCTCTTCTCATGCTCTCTTGTTCACTTTTTTTCCCCTCATCCCATCTCCTACACTTTCTTTTTTTTTTTTTTGTCTATTTTTATTTCCTCCTTAGCATTTCTGTTTGGTTTAATTTTGCACTCTGATCCTCGGGTTTAAATTTAGAGGAGAGTACATAGAAAGGCATCGAGGCAGAAAGTGCAGCCGTGTAGCACCAAACTCAATTAACTTCACTCTAAATTAAGTCATTGGAGAGCTCTTCATTAGAATTACCGTGAGTAGAGCGGGGGGTAAGCAAGGGTGGGGAAATAAATAAATTAACTAACGATGAGATTAACTTTCATAGCACTGTTTCTCTGCATCTCTGCTTTCTCTCATTTTATCATCTTTATCTTTTTCTCTCTCTCTCTCTTTGTCTCCTGTTGTGTGATTTATTCACTGATCCAAGGGGATCACATTAGGAGTTTGGTGATTATCCCCTTATAACATTATCTGAACTAATTATTCATGACCTATCGCTAGTGACAAAGAAAGTGTTTAATATAAGTTGAATAGAGCATATCAGATTGAAAATGGCATATTTTTAACCTCATGATTGTTCAGTTTCTTTGACTTGCATTCTGCTCCCGTGTCTTTCCACCCCTCAAGCCTCTCATTAAAAGTTTGCAACTGATTGCTAGTAGTTGTTTGTTTCAGGACAAAAACCTGCACAGTAGTACTATGGGAGAGCAGCAGGGTCGTGGCCGGATCTCCGCTCAACTTCTAAGAGCAGCTCTTCCGATTTATCATGTGCACAGCGTGATCTAGGCGTGCCAGAGGAGAGTCATCCTTTAGCAGGCAAGAGTTGGATACGCTCAGACTGAAGCCAAAGTGATGTCTCTATTTCATGTGGCTCTGATAACCTTTAGAGAAGATTCCTTCAAAAAATCTGTTCCCGAGTGTCTGAGCTTGTGGATTTGTCTCAAAGGTTTAGTGAACAAACATAACTGTCCATGTTAGCGGGCATAAATAAAATAATTATTTTATTTATATTATATATAAGTTTACTGCACGAACACATTACTGAGTTAAATATGTATCTTAAAAAGTTAGTCAAAAACAAAATTAAACCATTATGTTGAAACATATAACTGGTTTGTTTTACTTGGTAGGATGACATATTAAGTTTTGCTGTCATGTCGTGTTGTCAATTCCTCAATGAAAAATGTTTTGCAATTGGAAAGTAGAAAGTAGTGTGTTCAATTCCAGGTTGAGGCACTGAGCTCCAGGTTGTCTACAGAACTGCAACATGGAAGGCGATAGGGAGAGAAATGAAATCGCACAACAAAGGAAAAGTAAATAAAATCGACAAGTATGATTCCAACAAGTGATGCTTCTTCCATCTGCTCTAGTAAAAATGTGTGTAATAGAGTAATAAAGGGTTAGCTTGGTCAGTGAGGGTGGACCATGAAACCTTTACAGCCTGCCAGCCCACGCTGGGCAAATTACCAAAAGACCCAGTGAGAAGATAACAGCAGCCTGAATTGACGCAAAACGTGGTTTGGAGGAAATGAAAGATGCCCTAGACTGAGATAACCATCATGTCGACTTACACTGCAAATTACTGGGATGGCTGTTTAGCTGGCATTGGACATTCCATCTTCAGATGTAACAACGTTTGAGACAGAAAGGAACAAAAGTCAAGCTTTGAAGAAAAAAAATAACACACACGCACACACACACAAAAAAAACAAAAAAAAACAAAAAAAACTTCAACTAAGTTGTTTTTCTTTTGCTGGTTGGACATTACAGCACAAAGGCCTCTATGCTCTATGATAAGGACCTAGTAATCTGAATGGTAGATAAAGAAGATGTCACAGGAGGGTTCACTTTTGCGCACACACACACACCTACACACATGGCTACACGTACAGCTGCCATATGTTTCAGGAAGCCAGGAACCCTTCAAGATGAGAGAGGCCTCTGAATTATTGATCAATGATTAGCAAATGCAATAGAAATGTTAGCCTTAAAGTTGGCTGACTGAGCTCTGTGTGTGTGTGTGTGTGTGTGTGCGTGTGCATTCGCCAAAATAGTGTTGTATAAAATCAATCCTTCAACAATGCATCATCCCATGCTTTTAAATACATATTCAAATTTGGTGACAACTGTTCGTGTTAGCGAGACTAGTCGAATATGAAATTTAAAGTTTGCCTTTTAATTGCAAGCACTTACATTTTATTCATTTATGAATGGGTGTAAGCATGTGTGTGTGTGTGTGTGTGTTGTTGCAGGCTACAAAGCGAGTCTCCACTGGACTCAAAGGGGGATGTAATTCATTATTAAGTTGGGGACAAAACAGGCAGTATGGGAGGCGGGTAACAGTAGGTGATGGTAGGCCTGTATTGATTACTACCAACACCCGGAGCCAAGTGTAGTGTGACGGGATGAACAAAACCAGCAAAGCACACGCACAGGTGCTGACACTCTCATTCACAAACAGGGCACGGCTGTTGGACGGCCATTGTCGCTACCTTTCAACCTCAATGCCTCGGTTGTTGTGATACTCTTTCAAAGAGGCGAGTCATTTGGCTGGAGACAGTGGCAGGTTACCTCAGTCAGGAGGTGACAGCTAGGTGAAATGTTTTTATTTACGGGTAGCTAACTGACTCCAATCTAGTTGGCACTGAAATTTAATGCAGTTAATCAACTTCATTTTATAAATACAAAGACAAAGGGTCCGCCTGGAACATTTGTATTTGCACACCACCATTGATTAAAATTAATTAACCCAATTTTAATCAAGTCCCACCACTACTTTATTGTAATTTGCAAGTTATGAGGAGTGACAACCATATGGCATACTCGCTTGACATATCTGGTGTCTCTCCTCTCTCTCTCTCTCTCTCTCTCTCTCTCTCTCTCTCTCTCTCTCTCTATATATATATATATATATATATATATATATATTTATTTATTTATTTATTTTTTTTGAAACACCAACAGTGGGAATTTACCATGCTATTTTTTTTTACTTAAAATTATCGTCTCTTTTTTTTCTTCAAGTAAAGTGGATGATTGCTAACTT